ACAAACAAGCAAACCCAGCAGCAGCTTTCAGCATGGTGCTTGGGAAAACTCAGAGGCTATTCTGTCACCTTTTCTAAAAATCAATGCAGTACAATGTTACATGGTGGCTAGGTCTGCCTTTTGAAACTAAGTAATTACACATATAAAGAAAAAAAAAGTATTTTTTCCGGACATAATGGAAGGAGTGGATTCCAACTGGATACGAAGCCTTTATTTTAAGGCTAAATGTGCAGTATGTGCCAACTAGCTGGTAAAAAAGTGGCCTGTGTTGATTGGTTTATTTAACTTTCTTCCAGCAAAATAGCATATTGTGCTGTTGTCCTTCCACTGCATGAGAAGAGCCTAAAATAACAGAAGCTGTTCTGACATCTCTCAAAGCCTGCCTTTGTCAAGGTCACAGTTCTATTTTAGCTGCATTTTGTGCAAACAGAGATAGGTATGGTAGGAACAAATATTTTATAACTAAGATGCTGAGTCCCCCCAAAATGTAAAATGAAACAAAAATGCAGCTCCCACCCTCTGTTATGTAAAAACCATAACATATGTTGGCTGATTGTTAGCCTAGGTCTGGGTGCAGCCCAGCTTTCCCATCAGCAGATACAAAGCTCTAGAATTAATCTGTGGATGTTCTTGCTCTTCCTTAATTAGCAACCAAAAATTTCTGAGGGACACAGGTAAAAGATGGAGGTTCTGCTTTTAAACCGCACATATAATCTTTATATTCTTAAAGACGTGGAAGCTTTATATAAACAAGTTCTGTTGGCTCATTCAGTGCTACCAAATTTGTATCATATTATTGCTCATTATGCAGAAAATGTAGACATTAACAGCTCTTTCTCAAGTGTGTTTGGAACAACAGAGAGTGGTAAAGATGAGGGTGTGCTTTGGAGCAAGAAGCTGATAGAGGAGTAATATGCTGAGGGTTATTAGACATGTGGATGGCAGGTTCGAATCCAGGTGTTTGTTGACTGCTTGAGTCTGGGAGGGCATTGGGAAGTAGTTTCTGTGCTTTTTCTGCTTATCTGCATTCCTGGGCATTGTGTTTGAGCTGCTGTGGGGGGGACTGCCAGTGGTGTGGAGCTTTCATATCCTTCTCTATTATACCTGTTGTGGTGGGCAGGATTGTCGATGTATGTCCTGCTTTTGACAAGGACGGGGTTCATTTTCTTGCTAGTAGCTGGTACAGTGCTGTGTTTGAGATTAGATATGTGAATAGCGTTGGTAACACACCGATGCTTTGGCCATAGCTATGTAGTGCTTACTCTTAAGTCAAGGACTTTGCAGTTTCCCATGCTCTGCCAGTGAGGAGGTGCTGGGAGAAAGCATGGCCAGAACAGCTGACCTGATCTGGTCAAAGAGATATTCCATTCCACAGAGCATCATCCGCAGTGTCTAAATCGGGAGGGGTTACCTGGAAGGGGACTGATGCTGCTTCTCAATCAGTGGGTGGTGAGCAACTGTACCGTGCATCACTTGTTTCTCTTGTGTTCTGTTACCCTTTCTCCCTCTCCTTATAATTTCAATTATTATTATATCTAGTTTTAATTATTAATTTGTTCTTCTCTCAACCCATGAAATTTACCTTTTCTTTTTGATTCTGCTCTCCCGCGTGGGGTGTGGGTGGGTGGTGGGCAGTGAGTGAGCGGCTCTGTGGTGCTTTGTTGCCAGCTGGGTTTAAACCATGATGCTGTATCCCATGGAGTGAATTTGTGAGCTGACACTGGATAAAAGGGCTTTGCCTGTAGGAGAGAAAAAAAAAAATCAACTGTTCAAACAAAATCATACCACTTTGCAGTGGAGTAGATGGACAGTGCTGGTGTGGATGTTAAATTTGTGAGGACAAAAAAAAAAAAAGGGCAGTGCAGGATGAGATTCTGAAACGCTGCTTCAGAATCTATTTTGTGTAGCTACTCCAATTTAGCAGTAGCAAGTGTAATAGACAAGGTGTATCAAATTCTATCAAGATGTTTGGAGACTAAAAGAAGGTTCCTGTCATGTGAAAGAACTGAAGTGTGTATATCTGTATATATGTCTGTGTATATATATATATGGATATATATATACACACACATATAGATATGCATATAAGGAAGCTTTATGGCTTTACATACATATGCAGTTAAAACCCCCTAATATCTATGCTGCTTAATGTCACTTGGCAAAAAATGACTGGACAAGAAAAATGATATACAACTATGTATTTTCTATGCTAATAAGAGATTAATTTTCTGGCGTTTTTTAATAGAATTAAACAGATGTTCTCTTGATGAACACCATCTGTAAAGTACTGCTTGGAGAGGCTGCTTACTTAGTATTTTCTTTGGGTTGTAATCCGTATGTATATTTTTTATAAGGTATTTAATTTATAATATACTTTTAAAAAACCTTCTGGTAGTTTAATTAATACGTTTCTTTTTAAAGGAAAGATGGGATTTTATGGATAGAACATATTAAATATTATTTTTAGTGCTCTCAGAAGTTCAGAATTGAGGAATTAAAATATAATATGGAATACTTCTACCAGAAAAACTTTTCTCTATAACAGCCTATCCAATATAGCTTGCCTAATATTTTTTTTTTTTTTTTTTTTTAACTTTAAATCAGAAGTTAAAGATACCACTCTGTTCTTCTTTCTGGTATTCATTGCTACAATGTCTCCCAGATATGTCTGAGTTTGTCACATCTGTTGATAAATAAAGTAGGGTATTGACAAAGATCCTGTGAAATGGCCTCAAACATATTCTAAATTAATGTCTTTGTATCTTTCTGTTATATAGTACAGTGTTCATTGCAGGTCAGTTTGTCTAAAAGTTACTTATAATAATAACAATATTGTGACTTGCTTGTAGCTGTTTATGTCCAGTGTAAATGACTTCTTTCTGCTCACAAGAACATTATTTGGAAAGTAGCAAGAATAGAGTAACACGGACTTTTAAGACCAATTGCTTTTCTACTGGGGAAGAAAATTTAGCCTTGGGTAAAACTGTTACGTTTGTGTGCAGCCTGTAATTAGTATTGTAGTTGGGTAAAGCTTGATACAGTTCAGCTCTGCAAAACCTTGCTCAGTTTTCTGAGCTAAGGAGTCTTTTTGATGAGTGAATCCTCAAATAAACATGCAGTAGGAGTACTTTAGAAAGTTCTCAAAGCATTTTCAGATCTGTTTGGAATTTTTTAAACTAAAGGTGGATTTGTATGGGAATTAAGATGATCAGCAAGCTGCACCACAAATCTGCAGGAGAAACAAAAGGAGTGTCGTAAAGAGAGAGTGTATTGCTGCACTTTGTCTGATTAAATGACATTCCTCATCAATAAGGTATGTGATATGGCATGACTAACGTGCAGAGATGCACTTGAAAGGTGAAAAATATTGAATGGATTGCAAGTGTTTACTCAGTTAAAAATTTGCAGTCTTCCAAGCTGTGTGTAACTTGGAGCTGTGTCTGACATTGTTGGAAGATAGTTAAAATTCATAGTTGTGTTTGGTGAATGCAACATAGCAGCCAATTTCACTGCTCTGTGGAAAGACAGCTTCTGTTTTAGATTGAAAAATGAAATCTGGAATCTAATCAAGAAGTTCATGGTGGTTTTGTTTTGGTTTTTTTTGTTTGATTGTTTGTTTGTTTTTTTCTTTCTTCCATTTCTGCACTATCACCTCAGTGTGGATATTAACTGAATGTCGTGAGAAGCCCCAGCCATGTTGGTTATGAGGACTAGCATCTATTTCATAGAATCCTGGAATAGTTTGAATTAGTCCACCCCTCCAGGGACATCTTCAACTAGATCAGGTTGCTCAGAGCCCCATCCAGCCCAACTTTGAATGTTTCTAGGGACGGGACATCCACAACTTCTCTGGGCAACCTGTGCTAGTGTTTTACTACCCTCATCATAAAAAAGCATGTTCTTATATCTAATCTAAACTAACCCTCCTTCAGTTTAAAACCATTACCCCTTGTCCTATCACAACAGGCCCTGCTAAAAGGTTTGTTCACATTTTTCTTACAGTCCCTCAAGTACTGTGAGGCCACAATAAAGGTGTCCGCAGAGCTTTCTCTTATCCAGGCTGAGCAACCCCAGCTTTCCTCACTGGAGAGGTGCTCTAATCATTTTGGTGTCCCTCCTCTGGACTCGCTGCAGCAGGTCTATGTCCCCCCTGTGCTGGGGACCCAGGGCTGGATGCAGCACTCCAGGTGGGGTCTCACTGGGGCAGAGCAGAGGGGCAGAATCACCTCCCTCAATCAGCTGGCCCTCCCCCTTGCCTTCTTTCCTGCAAGGCCACGTTACTGGCTCATGTTCAACTTGGTATTTACCAGGACTCCCAGGTACTTCTCTGCCAAGCTGCTTTCCAGCTGGGTGGCCCCCAGAGTGTACTGGTGGTTGGGATTTTTCTTACTGACCATCATAAGGTTCCTGTCAGTCCGTTTCTCCTACTGTTGAGGTCTTTCTGGATGGTAGCAAGAATTGCTGGTGTATCAGCTGCTCCTCCCACTTTGGTGTCATCAGCAAACGTGATGAGGCTCCATTTTGACCCATCACCCAGATCATTAATTAAGATGTTGAAGAGGATAAAATCCAGTATCGATCCCTGGGGTGCACAGCCAGTTACTGGCCTCCAATTCAGCTTTGTGCCACTGATCACTGCCTTTGAACCTGGCTGTTCAACCTGTTTTCAATCCACTTCATCTGCTCCTCCACTCCATATGTCATCAGCTTCTCTGTGAGGATGTCAAGCATCAGGTGCTGTTCTGAACAAGTTATTTTCTTCCTGTCAACTTTGAAAGAAGATAAGTTTGCCCAAGAATTGACCTTGCATCTCCCCAGTTTGATATTCAGACCCACAAAGTCTCATTATTTCTCAATTTTCTTGTATATGTAGAACTGGAGTATCATTAACTGTCACTAAAATTCATCTTAAAGAGGAATGCAGTTTTTATGAAACACTTAAATGCATGGAGAATAACAGGAAATGCTCCTGGGGAAATACCAAACTTCTTGAGTGCAGCATGTGGAACATATGCAGCAAGTAAAATCACCTGAATGCAAAGCCTTTAAAAGATATCAAGAATAATGACCTGTTTCTTCAATGAGACAGGAATCTGCAGTTGCAGGGTTACATAATCCTGCAGGAGTGTATTATGTGGACTCTAGAAGAAAATCTTGAGTTTTCTGACTTCTCAAGTGCTTTTATTTTAGGATATTTATTAGTATTTCTTCGTTTGTATTTATCAGCATAGCTTTTTTTCCTTGCAAAAGGAAGTCTTTGTAGTGTCTTGATTAAAACCAACATAAATATTTTCTATAAACTGTTAGAAGTAGAAACTGATGTCTGTTTTCTTCTGTCTGAAAGTGTGTACCTAATCCACTAATATATTGTTTCTTGTCCTAACAAAGTATTACTTCTGTAGATAGCATTTGAAGTTATGAAAGCTACAGATAGAGGTACTTCTGTAATTCCATTTATTTTAGACCAATCGCACTGTGAATAGACCATAAATACATGATATTGCCAGTTGGAATAAAATGGTATCTATGGGTGAGTATGTAGATATCTCTACATGTAACAAGTCATTTTTAATCTGGGATTGTATAGTATGTAAATCAAGAGGTTGGTGAAACTGAAAATCACACTGACTTTTTAGTGAGTGGGAGAACTGGAACTGATGTCAGCATGGGCAAACTGAACTCATGTACTCCTCATTTATGTGAAACATGGGGTGATTGGGGTGATTGGGTGCACGTACACTAGTTTTTCTTAAAATATCTCAGGAAAATTTTAATTCCAAACTTTAAGAATTCTACATTATATCATACTCATGGTATCTTCAGTCCACTACATACTACTTGTCTCAATTTTTTTCTTGATGAAATTATTTGATATAATTATGAGACAATTATTGTGTAACTTTTTTGAATTCTTACTACAAACACCCAACTATTTCTGGATTATTAATATTAATGAAAACAGAAAATAAATTATTTTTAGGCACTCTAACCTTTTTTTTTTTCCTTCCTACAAATTAAGTAGCAAGTGTGGTTTAATGTAGCTACTGGTATTTAAGGTAATCTGTGATTTCAAAGTTGGGTGTTTGAAAATATTAAATGGTTTATATCTAGCACAATTCTCAATTAAAGGTTAAACTGCAGGTGTTGTGTGGAGCAGATGGAAGAATAATTTCCAAGATCTTAGAATTTCTTATGTTAGTGGTTTTTTTTTTTTTTTTTTTTTTTCCAAAAATATTTTTTTGGAAAAGAAAGGAGAATCATGTTCCAATTCCAAGGTCTTCCTGCAGTGTCCATCACCATTTCACCTGAATCCAGCCCTGGTTATGATTTTCAATTTGTTATATGATTATTTTCATTCTAACTGGGTTTTTAATGTATTGTATGACCAGCTGTACAGATTGCACATTAGTCTTCTGAACATGAAACTAAGACTGTACAGTTCATACATAAAGTCCTAGAGGATTAGTTAAGTTCCCATTGGCATTCACCACTCTTTTTGACTTCAAAGAATATCTGGCAGATTTTGTAAGGTGTATTGGCAAATCAGTTCTCACTGGTGGACTGCTGGACTGAGAAAACGATATGTGAAACTTCTTTTTATGATACATATAGCATGTAAGGTGGTACTTATCTGTGTTTTTTCTTACATTTACTGAGGATCAGCTTAACAGAAGACATCAGGACATCCTGTTCCTTTTTTACTCAGCTACCTTTTAACATGTGTGTTTGAAAATTAATTACCTTTTCCACTTCCTTTGCAAACAGCAGCAAGGGGATTTGTGGTACTGAATTTTGAGTGTATAGAAATACATTCACCAGAAGTTATGGTTTATGTATAATTTGCCAAACTTCTATATTCATACGGGATAAATTATTCTGAACTTGAAAAAAACCCCAAAGCTTAACATTAATTTTCTCTTTATAGGAGTTCCAGCTTTTACAGTGGCACTTAAAATTATAATTCCTATGCTTTATTTAGTGAATAAATATTTTGGCTAATGACAGTAAGATTTGTATGGTTGTACTGCTTACTTAAAAAAAAAAAAAAAAAAAAAAGGTATGTGCTTGCATAGAATAAACATTACCTAAAAAACCTCAGGCACAATAAAGGTATAATCACAGACTCCAATTATGTAACATTCACTAGAAATAATTGGAGATTAAACTCTACTTAGAAGGTAGTTTATTCAATGGAGAAATATTTATGTTTTTTAATTGAAAAGCTCTTTTCCCCATTTTCCTTCCAGGTATTGCTTTGTTTTTGCTTTGGGATACCTCACTGTGTGCCAAATTACTAGAGTCTATATCTTTGACTACGGACAGTATTCTGCAGATTTTTCTGGGTAAGGAGAAAAATAATCTTTTCATCTTGTCCTCCTAAGTGATACTGTGTCTGTTGTTGTGTGTGTGTGTGTGTGAGTTGTTGTTTGCTCCCCTACATCCCTCCCAGGTTATGTGTGTCAGCCTGTTAAACTTTGGGAGAAAGCTGGGCATGTATGTCCATATGGATACACATAAGTGCTTTAATTGTGAAAACTGAGAATTTTTGTGTCCTGTTAGAACCACCCATGTGTTGCCTCCTGCTCCTGTGGGAATGGCATTAACGATTTAATTCCTATGGGATTTTTTTGTCTTCTCTTTTTTCCCTAAAGTCTCTGCTACCACCCATGACAGCATGATGAACCTTGAATTGTGTCTGGTGTACTTGCTTGCCTGGCACACTCTGATACCGCTTTTTGAAGAAAATCTGAATGGTTTATGGAACTTAGCGTTCAGCTTCTTTTGGTTTTGGTTTTATGTTAGATGTTTAAGAAGGAGAGGGCTAAGGAGACAGGCACCTGGATGGAACAGTAGTCACATATCCCTTGGAAACAGAAAGTTTTGTTTCTATGTGCCCTCATTTTATATAATGAACTTCTAGCTATATATAACTCTAATTGTATAGGAGCAAAACAAAATCAAATGGGCAAAGTAAAACCAAACCATATTGGTGATTCTTCTTTATACTGCAGATACAGACAAGTGAAGCACAACACTTCCTGTAAACAAAGTTGCTATTATGATAGTGCTTTAAAGGAGAGTGTGTATTCTGGGGAGAAAAAAAGAGGTAGGGAGTATTTGGTAGTCTGCTGAAAATAATGCATTAAATACTTTTCAGGAATACTATGAATGGCAGTGGTCTTTGTAGTTTAGTATTACCTGTGGTAGAGTTGTACTTGTTAGCCTTGTTGCTTCTCAGTCTTCATAAGTAACAGGCACATAGTCCAGAAACATAAGTTGTAGGCTGAAGATAAAAGCCTTTATGGTTAAGTTCATCTTTTCTGTCATCTTTATCTTCTTACCTTCTGAAACATCTTTCTACATTTATCTTACATCCAAGTATCTGCCTTCAAGCCAGATATCCAAGTTCCAATTGTTGTCAGTGGAGATGTGATCGATGTGGACAGTAGAGCCTGGAGGGCATTTCAGCTGACCCACCACTAAGTACCTACCTGAGCATGAACTGGGTCACTTGTCAGATGCCCCTGACTATTGACTAGATCTCCACTGGCTGTAACGAGAACTTGCAACACAGACATATGTGTAAAGACACTGAAATTAGATCTACTGATGTTGAATTTATTTCACCATTACAAGTTGAACTGTAATCCAAATGCTGTCCCTTCCAATTCACTATAGGGCCAAAGTGTACAACATTGGGAGTGATCAAAGCTCTGAGCTGACTCTGGAAACAGTGTAATTGCACTTTGTTGTTGTTCTCTCAAAACTATTAGTCAAGCTTGAGTGCACCATTGCTCAAATGCGACTGTAACAGCTTTCAGATAGCAGCTGGCTTTGTGGCTCTGCTGGTTTGGTGTTAGCTCAGAGATTTCTACTGGGTCTAAACCTGTCCAAAGATTCTCACATCCCACTCCTGGAGGTTTTCAAGGCTAGGTTGGATGGGGCTCTGAGTAACCTGGTCTAGTTAAAGGTGTCCCTGCCCATAGCAGGAGGGTTGGAACTAGATGATCTTCAAGGTCCCCTTCCAACCCAAACCATTCTGTGATTCTATGATTTATAAACTCTATGCTCTGAACAGAACTGTTCTGAAGCCTAAATCCAGCTGTCAGTTTTTAACCACCCTTTCATGCACCAGTTTGGGAATTTGATTCCTATCACATTAAATCTCTGTCATACACTGGTTATGCTCCCTTGACACCTGAGACAGAGGTTACTTCCAGAACAGGCAGAGAAAGAAAACTTTCCCTAGTTCCAGGGTAAGAGTAAGCTTGAGAAAATAACTAAAGTTGTCCAGCCAGCTGCTGAACCCCAGCATCAGCAAGTTCTTCTGAAGATGTTGGCAAGGATTCATATGCTGGTTAGCCCCAAAGGAGCTCTGAATGTCTGTTCACCGAGATGTTTCTCCTAACATGCCATGCCCATCTAAGGTGTCCAAGCTGAGAAAATCTGCAAAAGGTTTGAAGGACAGTCTCAATGGACTGACAGTGGAGAAAGCTGAGGAGACCTTGTGCTGGAAATGCAATTGTTTGTGCAGAGCTGTGTGGACCTGGCTGCAGTACTACCAGTGAGCCTTCTGCCAACTGCTTTCTCTTTCTCCCAGCACCTAAAAGGGATTGTTAAAATCCTGATTCACAGCCTCACTGTGCCAGGAAGGACTCTTCCTCTTCTGATCTCTAGATTGTTGCTCCTCAGCCAAATCTTTGATGATACTGAAATTGCCACTTCAGAAGGCAAAAACCCCAAAACTGGTGCCTGCTGTGACAACAATGACAGACATATCAGCTGGAATTAGTGTAAGGGCTGACTGGGCTCCTCCTGGGCTCCATCCTTCCACCAGGCAGGATCCACACTGTCTGCTTACAGGAGAAAAACTCATTATGTTCAGAGTCACTTGAGGATTTCTGCCAGCACCAGGCAGATCTTCAGCTGAAATGCTAGAAAGACACACGAGGGATTCACCAGACTATCTGTTCTTGCTTAGTTTTCTTCCTTGATGACCCTTGCCTGTCACTCTAGTCTTGATATCAGGATTTTGGGGCACTGATAATAACAGTAGAATTTTTTTTTCCCCTGATTGCATTTTGAGGACTGGAAATAATTGTGTGGTTTTACCTTAAAAAAAAAAAATTATTCTGACAAAATTAATCTGACAAAATACTGGTGTAGCCCTGTCAATGAAGGAGGCCTTGATGGGTTTTGGATTTGTTTTTCTGTGCCAACTTGAATGTGTTTTAACAATGCTAAGTACACTCAAAACTTGAACAAAACTCATGTCCAATGTACAGTATGATTAACTTGTTGTTCCTTTTTTCTGGTTTTTGAGAGTTTTTTGTTGGGTTTTGGTTTTGTGGTTTGGTTGGTTGTTTTTTTTTTCTCCAGCTCATTACTAGGTAAATACAACTGATACATTTTTTGAGATCTAATTTCAAAGTTAAATTTCTAAATTCTAGTAGCTTACTTTATGCATTCCTCTGTTCTTTCCCTCCCCCAGGTAAGGGGCTTTCAATGTTGAGGTTTACATCAGTCAAAAACTCTGAAATACTAGAAAGATGGTATAATTTCTCTGTACAAAGCTGACTTGTATAACCAGGAAAGAATATTTCTTGGATAGTTCAAGATTCACCCAAGTGTACCAAATTGAGAACAAAAGGAACTCTGTTGGAGCCAGCATAATTATGCTGGGATTTTGTTTTGCCAGATATGTTTACTTGAAGTAAATAATAATTCTAGACAGAAAAATTAAATATAGGACCAGATGTTAGTGGAAATGCTGGAAGTGGTCAGCATATCTAAATAATTTATTTTAATGTTCAACTTGGGCATAATTTTATTGTCCTTTTCTACTGCTGCTGCTGTAACCTACAATGAATGTAATTGCTCTTACTGCCCTTTTCCCTTTACTCTTCTTACTGTAAAAAAAAATATACTGTTAGTAGAAAAATACATGTGAAACACTAGCTGTGTTTGTGGAACCTAATGAAGCAATAAAAGATATGAATTATCAAATACTGCATTTAAGGCTTAAATTCTTTTCATTGCATTGAAAACTCTGTAATGGTTTCAGCTCAAAAAAACGAATTACTTTGTTCTTGCACTGAAGATCTTCCAGTTTAGAGTAATAAGGCTGGACTACAAGTATAAACTTTCCCTGATATTTCCATGTGAAAGAAAATCCAGAACTTCTATCTAAATTATTCTTTCTTCCTTTTTTGTAACAGTCCAATGATGATAATTACACAGAAGATCACTAGTTTGGCATTTGAGATTCATGACGGTAAGATTTCTTTACAGTGTTTGATTTTCCATACAAGATAAATTTAAGGAATGTTTGTGATGAGTCAGTGAGTTACTTTAGTCCAGTTTTGTGTTTTAAGGCAAAATATGTTTTTGTATCTCAATTTTCTTTTGATGCTTACTAATGAAAGTGCTGAGAAATGTTGCTTGGACTCTACAGAAGCTCTGAAAACGCTGACACTTTGCAGAAAACACGACTTATCAGAAGACCAGTGACACTTCTGGAGTCAGTGACCAAAGACCAGTGACATTCTTTTGGGCTGGGGTATTGATCCTGAGTTAGCTAAAGAATTTCCCAATTCAGAGGTCTCTGCTGCTGACAGATAGGTAGAGGAAGCACATGTAATTTCAGTTGTTGAGCACCTTTTGTTTTAAAATGCTAAATGTTGAGCTCTTCCCTAGTTCGTGCCATATATACAGATTTTTATAAAGCCTCTGTATATGTTTAATTTTGTTTACTATCATAGTTAAACTCATTGCTAACATATTGCTGTGAACAGAGAGATTATCTAATTATGCTTCTGTCAGATTTATCAACCACATAAGTGGGCCTTAGTTGTGACAATGAATCCTAATGTTGGCTTTTGTGGGTAGTAACTTTTTTTTAGTTACCTTTAAATTCAAAGGAGTAATTTTCATTTTAAAGTTTAAAATACCATCTAATAAATCTGTCCAATTAGATTGAATCACTTAGAGCTACAGCTGTCAGTTGAAGATTTGAGAGTGTAGCCCCAGACACCTGTCCTGAAACTGCTTTAGTAACATTATGTAATGGAGTTTAATATGTTTTTGTCTCATATGTGTCCTAGCTTTACAGCTGTTGGTATTTCTTCTTTTTTTTTCCCATTCTTAAGTTGCATTGTCTGGAGAAGCCTGTAGGCAGCAACATTCAGGAATATGAAAAGTCGGGAAAACACCATTTTGTAACTATTTTTTGTATGAATGAAAATGAGTAATGCTAGGCTTATCTAGTTGGTCAAAGAAGCTGATATCTAACTTCCAGAGAAAATATATTCAGAAGTATTAGTCTTGCAACCTATAATCAACTGGAGTACAGAGTACACAAGTTAGAGGAAACAGGTTGTTATAAGGAAGTAATACTTCTAGTACCAAAGATACACGCTTCCTCATAATAGAAAGAGATATTCTGAATTTGCTGACATCATGCACAAATAGTGGAGTGGTGGTATGGAACAAGCATGGGAGTGTTCCTGGCAATCTTGAAACAAATATTTCATTTAGTCATCTCTATTATTAACTTTCATAAAGAACTAGATGAGATTTTTTTTCCAATATGAATTAATTTAGGTAATTTGTGTTTTCCTCATAAGCTTATTTTCTACCTGGATTTCTTGTAGATACCACTGAATTCCAAGTATCAGTCTTGAAATTTTGTTCCTTGTTGAGCTCTAAAGTCTTCATCAGCCTATGAGGAGTAGCTGGTAGTGTATTGAAAACTTTCTCTCTGGTTCTGTCTGCAATTAAGCAGAATCCTTGACTTGAGTTGGATAATCACAGTTGCAGTGAGAACACGACTTTCAAAAGTTGATGCGACCAGTGTGAATTCAGGAGCAACTGCTAGTCTGGTGTCAGAAGATCCTAAGAAAAGATGTACAGGGGAAACTAAGATTGAAGTAAAGTTTTTTAACCATAGACAACTTAAAAGGGATCCTTCACAAGAAATTAATGAAAACAAGCCTGTTGTCAGTGAGCTTTTGTTCACTGTACAAAAGTCCATGCTTCCACCTGAGTTACTTAGAGATATACTGACAGGAGAGGAGATAATGTTGAAAACCATTCTTCTAAGTGATTAATGGCACTCTGAGCCTCTAGTCACATCAGCTTGGCTATGTTAATCACCAATCACTTCTTTTTACTCCCTCTTTTTTTTACCGGTAGATTTAAGGAGAGGTAATGAAAATAAACGGCTGAAAGAAAAGTGTTGGTGAAAGTTCTTGGTAAACTTCAAGATTCTAGTTGTATTAAGGTTTGTTCTGTGGTAAAGGCAAGACTTGGTCTTGCCATGGCAGCCAGTTCCTTGTGTTGAGCTGTTTTAGTGCTGCATTTGAAGGTCCTGGAGTGACCTGAATGTAATCATGAAGGCCACTCACTCACACAGTATGTGCAAGAGGCTGTCTAGCTGAGTGGATATGCTGGATTCCAAACTGAAAAGTAGTATGGAATCCCATAAATAAATAAATAACAACTACCTCTATAACTGTTACACCCCTGTGCTCTTATTGTGAGGGGGATTTTTAAGCAGGAAAATTCTAGGAAAATTGCATAGGATTAGTTTAAGTTCACTGTATAATACAGACTTCTCAGAAGTTTGCACGGATCATAAATTTACTCATGAAGAAATTTGGAGTATGCCTTTCATATATTGTGATTTACATTTTGAACTTCAGTCTTTGATAGTTCTTACCTTACAGTTTCTCAAATAAGCACTGTCAAAAATGAGTAATCAGTGTAGTCAGTCACTTGCTTTGTATTTTTTTCTGATTATCTTTGACATCTCACATATATATTCTAAAGGCAGAATACATGATTTGTATTGTATGTGCACCACCAGGCTATTGGTGTCCATATTCATTCTTTATGGCAAGATTTAGATTTATTTCTGTAACACTTAAGGCTATTTAGGGGAGAAACAGAAATGTTTTTTACTTTAGATCCTATAATCTGGAGCACTTTTTAATCAAATTTAAAACTAGCATATATTGGAGAAGGAAAGTTACATTGCAGTTATTTTAGAAGGGCTGTAAAATGGAGGATTTGACTTGCATGATAAGTTTCTAGCTAAGAGGTGGTGGCAAATAGAGAAACCTTTACCAATTATAGTTATAAGGTACCAAAAGTTAAGCAGGGGAGACAAGAGACATCCTGTCACTCCTTAACTTTGTATCTTGCAATGAGTTCACATGATGTTTTCCTTTTTTCTTGCTTATAACCTACTCATGAGCCTCACTAATTTTATTGCAATTCTGTGTGAGATCAAGGATCTTTACCAGAAATACCCATATCCAAATCCAACCTCACTAATCTGTATGTGCTTTGACAGCTTGTTTTTAATTCTAGCCCTGAAAAAATGTTAAAGATTGTCCTCAAATGTTTATATTCATAACTTATTAAAGTTCTGGAGCTTACAATATACTTACTTTTAAATCTCCAGAAGATTCAGTCAGCAGAAATAGGGAACACTAGATTTGATTTTGACGTTTAAAAGGAAAAAGCGAATATCTCACAGCTTTTTCCAACCATTTTCTGACTGGAATTTAAATAATACAGGAAAATTTAAAGAAAATAAATGGTTATTTTTAAAAATTAAAATAAACATGATATATAATTTTTTCCAAATTATTTCTTCATATTATTATGTTGCACTCATCCATAGAAATGTGTGGCTAGATACAGGTAAGAAACCAGAATCATAATCCATTCTGTTCTGTCAGCTGCTTCTTGGTTCCTAGGCCTTTTCTCACATGCTTTCCAACCACAAAACTCTTTATTCACGTGTGTGTAACTGTAGTGGGTTGACCCTGGCCAGACACCAGCTACCCACTGAAGCTGCTCTCTCACTCCCTTCTGCAACTGGACAGAGGAGAGAAAAAAAACAGTGAAGGAGTCATGAGTTGAGATAAGAACTGGGAGAGGTCACTCACTGATCACCATCATGGGCAAAACAGACTCAAAGTGATTAATTGAATTTATTACTAACAGGGTCAGAGCAAAAGAGTGAGAAGTAAACTAATCTTGAAAACACCTTCCCCCCATTCCTCCTCCCTTCCAAACTCTACCTCCTTCCCCTCAGAGGTGCAGGAGGACAGGGAATGGGGGTTACTGTCAGTTGTTGTTTCTGCTGCTGCTCAGAGAGAGGAGTCTTTTCCCTGCTCCTGTAGGGTCCCTCCCATGGGAGACAGTCCTTGATGGGCCTCTCTGGCGTGAGTCCATCCCACAGGCAGCAGTTCTTCCCAATCTGCTGTCCTGTGGGTCACTGCTCCATGGGGTGCAGTCCTTCACAGATGAGCTGTACTGATGTGGGTCCCCCACAGGGGCCACAAGTCCTACCTGGGAAAAACCCGCTCCAGCATGGGCTTCCCTCTCCACGAACTGCAGGTCTCTGGCAGGACCTGCTCCATCTTGGGTCTCCCACAGGGTCACAGCTCCTTCCTGCATCCACCTGCTCCAGCATGGGCTCCTCTGTGGGCTGCAGGGGGGTCTCTGCACCCCGATGGTCCCCCATGGGCTGCAGGGGCACAGCTGCCCCAGCCTGGTCTGCACCACGGGCTGCAGGGCTTTAGCTCCCACACCTGGAGCACCTCCTGCCCCTCCTTCTGCACTGACCTTGGTGTCTGCATTGTTATTCCCATGTTCTCACTCTGCTCTTCCCTGTTTAGAATTTTCACCTGTGCAACAACCTTCTGTTCTTAACTATGTTATCACAGAGGTGTTACTGTCACTCCTGATTGGCTTGGCCTTGGCCAGCAGCAGGAATTCCATCCTGGAGCTGGCTGGCATTGGCTCCACTGGACAGGGGAAGCTTCCAGCAGCTTCTAACAGAAGCCACTCCTGTAGTCCCCTCCCACCCCCTGCTACCAAAATCTAGCCACAGAAACCCACTACATTAACCTTCTGCTGTCCCTTCAGCTCTGTAGTTGCTAATTTTTAAATGTGCTTTTCCAGGAATATTGCTTGCTTTTTTCCCCTAATTATTATTTTCTTTTTTGTATCTGGCACTCTCCATTTTTAAAAGCAATAGATTAAATATTGATGCAGATCTGGTGAGGCACTGCTAAAAGAAGACAAGGAGTGCAGTGAATATGCAACTTGAAGGCTTTTTTTTAAAATTTTATCTCTGCCTTAGCAAAATGTAGTTAAAGGCTAGTCATAGTCCAGTGGATTAGGTCTTAGTTGCTTTGCTCCAACAGTGTGCTATTAGGCAAATGGCTGGATTATTTTATGCTCCTTTCCCTCATATTGCTATTGTAATATTACAAAGTTGTAAGATTTCCAAATAGTCTATTCCAAATAGTCTATTAGAGCCCATTTCTCCCTGTGAAATAATGAAAATACAGTCTTTGTCCAGTATGGTGCCTGAGAGATATTTCAATGCATAGATTAAATATATGGAAAATATGAAGAAAGTGAGGAAAAAGAAACAAAGGTAAAGAAACTTCTTCATAAAAACTGTACTAGTTGTCACAGTCTTAATTACTTATTGCTACCTACCTCATCAGGTTGTGGTTCTACATGATACACCTGGGAGATTTTTCAGCCAATGCTTTTTTTCTTTCTTTCTTATTTTAAGTAGAAAGTAAGTTTTCTTCTTGGTTTGCAGCTGATGAGCAGTCCCATCCAAGCTGAATACCTGCTGCTATGTTAGCAGCAATGGTTTTGTTAGCTGTTCTTGAACAATGGAGTAGTGTCAGAAGTGTCAAAGAATGTTTCTTGATTTAGTTGATGGAAATATTTCTTCTTTATTTTCAGTTAACTTTTACTCTCTCAAAGGGAAATAATTCTCACATTCAGCAGAAGGACACAATATCTTTCTAAAGGCTGACAGGCAACTTTAGTATTGGTCTGCTCTGGCTTAAAGAGTAGAAGGGTAGAAATGTGGATGTACTGAAGCACTGGACAGCTTATGTGTGTCTGTATATGAGATATAAAAATTCAAATTTATTTTAAGTAGATACTATAAAACAGAACAGGATTACTAGGTCGAATTGCTGATTTCCACCATGTTAAATCACAATAAAAAGGGAAATGCCATGCTTTGGTCAACTTACTTTTCAGACTGGGGTATTTTTGTTGTGGTTTTTTGGGGTTTTTTTTGTAATGACAGGGGTCAGTTAAGAATGTTACATTTATGAAAATGAAGTTCTCATAATGCACTTTTTTATTTCAAATAGTATTTTATTATTATTCTCTTGTTTTCTGATATTTCTGTTAATTGTGTGAGTGAAACTGCCATGGTGTGGTGGTGCTTTGGGCTTTGGTTTTTTTTGTGTTAACTTGATGTTTTCTTATACCTAAGAGTTTCTTTTACTGATCTCCTTCCAATAGTCTCTTGATTTCTCTTTTATTTTTTTATTTTTAAAGTGCTCCCTTTTGTGATCATGACATTATGGTCATTATTATTTCAGCATCAGTTATGAAATCATTTTTATTACAGTATGTGTCATTAGTGGTTAAAAGAATGATATTCTGTTTCTCCCCTTTTAAGTCTTCAAGTATTGCTCTGGGCCTGTGTTTGCTTGCATGGCTCTCTGGATATCAAGGCTTCTAAGTTTTCTTGCTTTTTGTATTTATTTTTTTTTTCAGTTTTGCTCAGTGGGTATCTATACCTACTTGCTTTTGTTGCTGCCAATGTGCTAGTAACAATTAAAACTCTTACTGTCTGTATTTCTTCAGGTCTTAAAATATTTTAATAACAGCATGCATTTGGGCTCAGCTGGTGATCCATTTCAGAACCTCAAAATTTATTGCAATAGGATCTCCATGTTTATTATGGATGTAATACAACCTTATGTCTAAGCATTATTAGTTACTGATTAGCCAGATTTCCATACAAATACAAAAGTGGGTAAGTTTAACCAAAAGGCGAGATGGTGCTATGGTGTGATTGTAAACATTGTATTATCATAGTGAGAGCACAGCAGTAGTCATGTTATGCCCTAATAAAGCCTAAATGGCAGGATAGCTGTGTGTGCCTGAAGATGTTGGGTTTGTTACCATTAGAATACGGGCTCTGGAGAGGGCATGAAAGGGTGGAAGTTCCTCATGATCTAGACCTCTAGGGATAAATTTTGTTAGAGATGATTTACAGAATTCTTTTACCAAGCAAGGAACATAGGAGTATTTCCTGCTTTATGATAAGAAAATAGAGTTATAGTTGCTGAATGACCAAATTGTTTCACCTCTCTAACAGATGTTCGATAAAACCCATTTTCTCAAATCTCTACTTTGTGATTTGGTATCAACTAAGCGCTGCAGCTGTTGTGGCAGTATCCTGCTTTAGAACAGGAGAAAACAATTCTTATAATCCCCAAAGAAAAGTTACAAACCCACAGGAGTTCCCTAGCAGCAGCATGCTGCGAAAGTGGGGGTTCTTCATCTCCAGTGTGTAGGTAGGGAACAGCTGTTATTTATGAGGTCTCTGTTCCCATGGGCTTACACTGCTTGGGAATTATTGAGTGTATATATATTAATTCATCTCATATTGGATAAGCATCAGTGTAAGAGTACCTTTTACATATACATTTTCTATGGTTTAAAGAATGTTATCAATAGCCGCCTGAAAGCTTTCAAGAGAATGACAGAGATCAATGGTTTCCTTGTTCTTGTGTGCTGCGCAAAGATGATAAATGGGCTTTCAAGGCACTGAGAAGGTATTTAAAAAAAAAAAACAAACAGGGAAAGCCACTAAACTGGCCTCAAAGAATCTCCTGGCTGAAGGGAAATCTTAGTGAGATAGGGAAATGAAAAATTAATGGAGGCTCATTTGTATGCAGTATGTTTGAGACAGCAAGTGCGTTGCTCACCAGGTTATTTGGGCCTTAACCAAGTTCTTATTTATGTATATAAGTATATATGTGTATGTAATTGGAACCCATTTTAAGTAGGCCAGTTCTTTCCTTCTCACCCCTCCAAAACCACAGATCATATTTCAGTGGTTATTCTTCTATTTCAGATTTGAGGGTTTTTTCCTCCTTTTCGATACCACATGAATGGTGTGAAGTCTTTCATTTGACTAATTACCTTTATTTAGTGACTAGTCTGGCTTTATGGGAGTCCATTTGGACACAATTGGGGATCTGTTCCTCTTTCTGACTTAAGGGTAGAATACTCATATGGAAGATAATGACAGAGGAGGTTCCTGTTCCAGTCAGTTTGCGTTGTGTAGACTGTGAGAGACTGAAAGCTCTGCATGAGACACTTCTCAACATCAGCCATATTGTGGGATCTGCATCTGCCTATAGATGTGTCACGTGAAAAAGGGCAGAAAAGATCTATCTATCTATCACCTTGCAAGGTGTCTTTGTGTTAAATTTCTGTTTAAGTTTGTATTAAATTCAGAGATTCCGCTCCCTGAGAACTGTGATCTTTATGGCCTTAAAGGTTACACAGTCTTTCAAAACGCTTGACATTTTTTATTCAGTACCTTTATCAGCACAGAAATCTTTGCTATAGCACCGAGAAGATGTGAAAATGTAACAATGAAGTTGAGAAGGTACCTGCATGAAGTTAGGGGATGGTGCTTTGTTCTTCAGTTACTTACTGAACTCAATCTTGAGCCAGTGTGGATGAGGGTAACTTTCCACTGTGAAGGATCAGGAGCAAGGAAGGCATTTTTACAGGTCATACTGAAAGAGAGGAGATGGCAATTTGCTAACCCCTCTGTATTCTTGGCTTTGTTGAAGACTAGAAGTGTGGTTTTGAAGTTGCGTGTATAGGTCATGATCACACTGGAGTCACACTGAGGCAATAGTTATCTTGTCTTTAGATAACAAGTGTTTCCATGAGTCACAGAATTAAATTAGGTTTTATTTCTCCCCAGCCCTCAATCTTTTTTTGTCATAAGTCTGACTGAGTTTGATATCTAAAAAAGAAGTTGGCTCCAGTTGAAACTTTCCTTATGCTTGGATCAAGTATAAGGGCTCCCCTCTGTGGATTTATTGGAATTGAGGGGTGGGGTCAAAGGCAACCTTTCGGTGAGAGGAGGAGGATCTTCTTTAGAAACACCTATTTTCATAAAGCACATTGGGATTTCATATCTATATTTTGTCTACTCTCATCAAACTCGTTTGGAATTTGGCTGTTGGGTTTGAGCACTGCTATGGAGGAAGATAGTTGAAGTGGGATTTTGTAGGCTTCGTTTCCTTTAGGAAGCTATGTGCATAAAAATGAAGTTTTTAGTGGCAAAGAGAAATTGTAAATGTGAACAGCAGGGAATGGCTGCACGTGGAAATGTCTGAGCCACTGGAGAGGCACCAGGAAGAGCTGAAGGGGTCATTTTGGCAGGCGGTGCTGGCTGGTATAAACCAAGGCTGTCTGAAGGAGGGAGCTCTTCCTTTTTGTGCCTCTGAATTAGAATATTTCATAATAATTTAAAGTGTTAAAAATAATATTTTTTACTTTTCTCTTTTATGGGAATACAGATTTTGAAGACTATTTTTCAGGGGTAGGTCACTAGCATTTCAGAAAGATCCTCATATGGCAAGAAGGCAATTTGAGTCTTGCTTCTGAACTTAGACTTGGCCTGCCCCCTTCTGCTAGCAGGGGTTAGGTCTTCTTGCCTGCTTCACTGGACCTTGGGCACAATACTTACTTGCAGAGCAAAGGTACTCTCCAGGTCTATAAGTTTAGAATTGCTGAAATCTGTCATGGACCGTGTTCATTCTACACATCAAAATTGTAATGACTAATGTAATATCCCTGGGTTGCTGCCCTGTTGAAAGGGTTTTAGGGCTTCTCCAGTGTCCAGGACTGAGAATAAAGTTTTAAAACCTGCAGACTTTGAAGTCTTAACCAGTGTAGGAAAATTGTTTTTTGTCAACACTTACCACAAGTTGTCTTAATGCTTGCCTGAAATCCATGTGATTTCAGGTTTAGGCACTGTTGGATGTAACTGAAGATACAAAAGTTTGTAATTCTATCAACAGTAAGAATTGTTTGATCCAACTCCAGCAAAAATGTTATGTGACATAATACCTCTGAAACTGCTTGAGGGGTTAAGAAATTACATTGCAGCATGAGGCTTGCTCTACTGAATAAAGAAACAGTGTAGGGGTTTAGCTTTTCTTTATATTTTCTTTTTCCTGTCCTCTTCCCTAGGAATGTTTCGGAAAAATGAAGACTTGACTCCATCACAGAGGTGTTTAGCTGTAAGGTAGGCTTTCAGACATTTCTGCTTTGGGGCTGATTTGTGTGCTTTGTTAATGCTCTGTGCAGTTTCTACAGTTCACATTCAAGACAGAGAGCTTACAAGCTCACGTAAAACAGATCCATGCTTTTTATATTTGTAGCTTAATTTGTACATATGTTCTTCTGAAGAATATCACTAGAAGTAGGTTTTGTACTTATTTAGGAAAAGCGTTATGAGTTCTATGCAGTGTATACAAATTAATGCCATATCAGACAGGAGACTGGTTAACTGTTAGTACATATAAGAAGTAGCTGGTGAAGGAATAGGCTTAGTTAATTCTGTTCTTCAGTATTTAACTTTCTCCTTTCTTTATTCAGGAGACTTGAAAATAGTGTGTTGTCTTGGGCAAGAGAGGCTTGATTTGAGACATTTGCTTTAATTGAAATTATTGCCAGTTAACACAAGGCTCTGTTTATTGATTCAACTGTTGAGGGAAAAATAGAGAACTTAATACAGTTGAACAAACAGAGAAACAGCCTTCCCTTTCCTTCCCCAGGCTCAGCTTCAGTCAAACACCTCTGCTGGGCAAGGAGAGGGTCAGAGTTCAGGAGGTCTGTCTGAAAATGCTCAGTATGGATTGGAAAGAAATTCTATGTGTAGAGTGTTTCAACCTGTGATTAGAGAGGACACATAAATTGCTTTTGTACATGTGATTTTTATTGCAGTCAGAGTAAGAGATAACATGGAGTATGACTTTTCCTACTGTGGAAATTCTGTAGAACTACACATCCCATCTCACGAGTTGCTTGTCTTTGAATTACAGACGCATGCCAAGTCTACTGGAGTATTTAAGTTACAACTGTAATTTCATGGGTATCCTGGCAGGCCCGTTATGCTCTTACAAAGACTATATTACTTTCATTGAAGGCAGATCATACCAACTGCAACAGTCTGAAGCAAATGGGAAGGAAGATACAAAATATGAACAAACGGATCCTTCCCCAAATGTAAGATGTATGACTCTTGCAGTGCTGATGCTTTACGTAATCATTGCATGAAAAGCTTGGTTTGCATTCTTCATTTACAGGCATATCTTCTGAGCTTTATCTGGAGTTCATTCATCAACAGAATACTTCCCTGCTCAAAAAGTTATATGCTTATTTTTTTAAGGCAGGTTTTCTCCATGGTTTCCAGACTGGATCTTGTGGATAGAAGCAGATTAAATTGGAGCTTCCTAACAAGGTTATATGGTAAAAAGCCATCTTTAAATTAAAACAGTTCATGCATTTTTCCTTCAAAGCATATACTGTGCATAAAAAGAGTCCTGGAAAGGAGAAAGTACACAGTTTGTTATTTGAAAACTGATGAGACTTAAAAGTTCCAGCGAGGTTTCATGAATGTTCTCAAATTATGTTGTTTTTTAATGTTTATTTGCAGCAAGTAGAAAACAGTCATATGTAACAAATTAAAAAACAGTCATAGAAATAGTTTCATTTTTCAGGCTTTGAATCAGGTAGAGAGATATTGAAGGTGTAGTAAAAGATGTACTAGCCATAACACTATGAATAATATTCTAAGCCACCTAATTCTTTTTTTCTCTTTGTTCCTTTACTGAAAAAGAGGCTAAATGCATAAATAAGATAGTCCAGTTGATCATGCCTTCTAAGAGAGATTGTATGACCTGAATTAAAATCAAAAGTTCACAAAACTTGTTACTTTTAAAATACAGTCTAATTAGTTTAATGATCAGAGTCCTGGATATTATCTTTTCACTCTTTTAATATTCTCCTAAACAGAAGTGTATCAGACGTACATTTGTGTGTGCCTGAGATAATTATTAAACACACAAGAAGCAGAATTATCGTGGGGGCAGCTGGAACACTTCAGATAGATGGCTCCTGCTAATTCCAGTGCCAGTTACCCATGTTGTTCTTATCTTGTGGATCACCAATTGTTGCTGGAGCAGATGAAGGCATTCCCACACGTACCCGCTTTTCTCATCCTACCATCTAGAGATTACGTCCCACAGCTGGGCCCACAGGGAGTGCTTCCCTATCGGTTGTGGCATCTCCAACCACTTCCATCCTTTCAGAGTAGATGAGGATTCTTTGTAGTTCCATTCTAACCATCTGGTATGACTGCAGTAACTTGTACCACAGGAATGTAAACGAGTGGCTGGAGGATGGTAACACTTCAAACCGTTGACAAAGCACATGAGCTCACACGAGTGTGCTGTGGAGAGAGTCGCTGGGAAGGGTGAAAGATGGGGAGAATTCCTTGCAAAGATTGGTACCACGTGGTCCATACTCTGCATGGATGTGTTGTACTGACAAAATTACAGACACTTCTTTTGTTTCTAAATGTTGTTTTGGCTCAGCAAAGTCCGTGTACTAAAATCCTATTTCTGCAGAAAAGTGTTATGTAGTAAAATTATTGCAAATATATGGAATTAAACCAAATCTGCCCCTATCGGTACTTTCTGGACATGCATTTACTGATTGCCTGATAGGACTTCCTGGCTTTTTATCACATAATCTTGCTAGCAATCTGGAGAAAGTCAATAGAAATAAATGTAAACCTATGATGGCTTCTTCTTTCAGGTAAGCAGTTTTCCTTAAAAAGAATTGCTCTTAAGATGCTTGAAACTTTTTGCAATTTATGCTGCATTAGCTTTTGACATGAAAACAAAGAGAAGCTGTTTATGCTCTTGATACTCTATCTCCCAAGTGGTGTTAGAGAAATTTGGCTGCAAGTTATAACACCAGTGAGTATTGTGTGCTTTGGAGGAATATGAATGATACCATTTCACTGCATTTGCTGCATCAAATAAAATATTCATTGTCTTGTTGTAGAAGAATGTTTAAATACCATTAACTTCGTATAAATACTTTAAATTTGTTCCCTGATTCTCATGTTATTATTTCAAGAAGAATAAATTGTTAGGTAACTTAAAAAAACAAACAAACAAACAAATTTTATTGGGGATCAGCAAATGTTAATGTAGTAAATTTAAAAAAAAAAAGATCCTTGAGCTGAGTTACAGTAAGTTTGATTTTTTGTTAAATATAATTACATAACCAAAGTAGTTCATTCCAGCCTCCTCCTCTGTAATGTGTGTTAACTGCATGATGTTAACTTGGTTTAGTATTTTTGCTGTGTTCATTGCATGTTAAATGAATCAAGTCACCATATTAAAACTTACTTCTTATATCCCTCCTATTGTGCCTTTTTGCAAGCTATCAGTTGTTGGTGCTCAAAGTGGTGTCAACTCTCAGAAATTAATATCTGTCTTTGTAAGTTTCTTTTTATTATGGCTACCCTTAGATTCCTTTCAGCAGATATCTGCTTTTTTGCTTATTGTGCAGACTCTCCCTACAGGTTATAAAGTTCTTGCTTAATTACCTATAATTTTTATCTGAAGTACCAACCTCCCCCACGTCATGTGCTTTAATATAGTTCAATATTACACTGAGCTTCTTGTTGATTCTTTATAAGGCAAGAAGTTCATTCAAATAAAATTTTCAAAGATTCCTCTCTACCTTTTTGTATCTGTTTTTATATATGATACATGTTTTTCTATACATTATATATGATAGTGTATTTCTAAAATTCCTGAGCTCTGTGAGTGTTGTAGCTTTATTTCTTCCATTAAAAAGCTGTTCCTGAACTCCTTTCTCAAATTAGGTATCTAGTTTTCAACCTAATTATATTCCCATCTAATTTATGCACATTTAATTTTGTCCTGGCACTGTTTTCTAGCCTAAGTACCTTTTCCCCTTCTCAGTGTTAACCATATTTGGTATTTTTGTACAGGTATGCCCAGTTGTTCACCAAAATTAAATGAGCCAGGAATTTCTACCTTTTTGTTGTAAAATAATTTGTATATCCTAATTCATGTCTGATCAAAGCTATCCTGCAGCTTATGGTCTTTTAATTCCTTACCAGAACAGTTATTTGAGTATGTTGAAAACTTTAAAGAGCGCATAAAATTAAACTTCAGGTTATTTCATCCTTGTAAAAACTGACCAATAATCCTGTGAACGTGCAATCCAGGGATCGCCTATTTATGCCTTGGCAAAGAAGCTTTTGTTAATAACCTGGTTAATTAAGTGAGAGGAAGTGAATTAATGTTTTTCCAAATGCATTTCTACAGGTAATTGAACTGTAGGGTTATATTGGTGTCAGTGCACAGTGTTGTGGGCTGGTTCAGATCATTTGATCTGGCCTCTCACTTGCCATTAAAAACCAACCAAACAAAAAAACCCTCACCAAAAAACACCAAACAACAAAACACCTCCAAACTCCCTAAAGGTCCCAACAACAACCAAATAAAAAAAAACCAAACAAAATGCCAAGAACTTAGGTTTTCATCTGATTTGTTTCTCTAATGTGTCTCATTATAAGGAACAAGAGCCAAACCTGGAGCCAAGGAATGGAGGCAGGGCAGGACTGGTGCTTTGCATTGCAGCCTGTTTGGTTTGTCCTTCAAAAATTCGGCTTAAACCAGGGTGGAAGCTGCAAGATATTTATCTCCATCACAGTGTTCTAAGGACACTGATATCCCTGATACTGATTCCTCTTAAGTGATATCAGCAGGCTGGGATTTATAATTATTGAGTGAAGTAGTATAATTAAAAAAAAAAAAAAAAAAGTTTAATTTGTGACAGAGTCCCATATGAGTTCATTGTTTTTTCTTCAGGTAAATTTTGCTGAAACCAAACCTTAAAAGAAGGGTTCGCACTCCACAGTTTAGTTAATAACCTTCAGAGAGGTATTAAACAGATTTCTGGATGAATGGGCAGATTAATGATTTCTATTTACTAGTAGAAAAATTGGTAAATAGTTGCAGTGGCAAAAGCAGGTCTTTAAACAGACATAACATTACTTATAAGTTGCCAAAACAGTTTTTTAGACTTTATGGTGATCTTCAGATGGAAAACACCTGTTTTACATATTCATGCTTATATTTTGAGTGTTAATGTTACCGGCTTATAAATATTGTTTCTCATGTGAAGTTGAACATGACTTGTAATTGTGGCTTAGACTTTGAAGTTAAATCCCTGCAGCTATCTTCAGAACTTTGGGGTGATTCCTTTTGGTATTTACAAACATCAAACTCTTGCATTTATCAGATACTGCATACCAGAATTCAAGATTCATTAGTGTTATTATTAACTGATTATTAACATTATTAACGCTGATTTTTTTAACATTAATTTCTATTTCAATTCCTGAAAAAGTTAAGCCAACTTTCCTTCTCCTCTAGCAAGAGAGAGGTGGAATGATAGTTCTAGAATAAGCAATGACCACTTTTAGAAAGTTAATGCCCTTCATTTTGAACTCTTGTAGTAACGTATTCAAATGAGGTTTATTAGAAAGCAAGTAGAAGCAAATAATTACACACCAGTTTTAGCCATTAGTCAGTAGTTGCCTCCTGAATATTCCAGCTGTGTTTTTTTTAACAGCTGTGATTTCTGATCCTCTCTGAAATATCTTCTGACATGCAATATTCATAAATACTCCCACAATTTTACAGCTTTTCCAAGTCTAATTTTTTATCAGGTTGTTCCACCTCTTACATCTGTGTGACTGGGTGAATCTTTGATACTGTGTGTCTCACCAAAGTCTGTGTTTTCAGTGGGATGTTTAATGCTCCATTCTGTATCATGGAACAGAATTATCCTTTATTTTGGAACTAGATATGTGAAGCTGAACTCTCAGTGAAGCAGAATGTTATCTTTAAAAGCTTGAGCAGGTATACTGGAAGCAGCATGGACAGAAAAAGGATTCTGATTATCTTTTTGTTCTGATGCTTCAAAGAAAAAGTGACTGTTTTCTTGTCAAGTGTAGTTTCTGTAGAATTTTAATGTAAATTAAAACTGTAATTTTTAAATATTGAGATCACTTAAAATAAAAACTTCAAAAATACATTTTAATGAACCAGCTCTCAAACTGTGGTGCTTGGTTTAGTGTGTTACCATGTTCTGTGAAAGCTTCTAAAGTATCTATCCTTGGGGTGTGGATCAGATAGTGATTTAGAGCAGTCAGTAGCTGACATTATTTCTCATTGTGTTTTATAACAGAACCATAGAAATGTTTCCTAAAAATAATCCTGATGCTTTACTGTGGTGGTTATAGCAAAGCTGAGTTTTGAGAAAATCTGAGTAGATCCGACCTGAATAACATAATTTTACACATCTGTGAGCATATTATTTGTCCCCTTGTAGCTTGATCACTCTAGCTGGGAAGACAGATCTATATAAAACTGGTAATTTGGCTGAAAATTGATAAATTATTTCAATATTTTAGTGGGTTTAGCATTTAGATACTGTAATAATCTAACAGAGATGATTGATATGTTAAGTTGGGCAGCAATTGAACACCTCATTATGCCAAAGATTACTGAAAATAAACTGAAGCTTTGCCATTGTTTTGGAATCTCTACAGTAGTTGTACTCTAAGATTACATGTTTTGTGTTATGATGTCTTAACAATTTACTTGCTTCATTAATTTGACAATGAAATAAGAAAAAAAAATGGAGCTGCAAAAGGTGTTCCCATTCTTGAAGGGGTTTTAGGGGCTTACTGTAGTCAGACTGGATTTGTTGTGTTTGGCAGGAGAAGGGGTGCTCACAACTTGATCAATGCAACAATATTCCTTGAATCTGTATAAAATGTTACCAACTATTTTAAAGTTGGTAGTTTACATTACTGCAAAATTGATATACATTTATATCTGCGTAGGGAAGGAAGGTTTTAACATTCCTATGTTTCCAGAAGATTAAAAAATGAAGCTTACAAATTCTCCCATCTTAAACTTTCAGATAGCTGTGGCACAGAAACTCTTGATCTGTGGACTGTCCCTACTCTTCCACATGACTATTACAAAAACTTTGCCAGTGGAATACAACATTGATGAGAACTTCAGAGCCACAGCGTCATGGCCTGTAAGGTTTTTCTACCTGTACGTGTCTCTTATGGCTGCCAGACCCAAATATTATTTTGCATGGACTTTAGGTAAGTATATATTTAAAAATATAGTAATAACAGAAAGGGCACGTGTTGGGTTTCATTTGAGATGCTGCACACTTAAGCATTTATTAAAAAGTGGCAGTGCCCTCTTGAGGCCTCAGGAAAACCTGATCGCATTTAAGTATTCCGAGGTATTGGCCGAGTACACTGAATTGTGTCTCTCTCTTTGGGAAACAAAAGTTACCAGAAATGTAAGCACAGTGTTGTGACAGTGTTGCAGTGAGATCACAGTCTCCTTTAGAAGTCGGAGTGAAACTTAAGGAATTTTGGAGAGTGGTTTTTAATTTAAAAAGTAATAATCATAATAAAAAAAGAGTAAATCTAGTCTGATGTACAAACTTTTTTTAATTTATTTTAATTTATTTTGATACCTTGATTTTTGGCATATCTGCAAAGTTATTTTTTGTGGTTAGTAATTTGCTTGGTGTTACTCAAGCATGAATGAAAATTAATACATTGAAATTCAGATGTATTGTACTGTTGCTAATAGTAGGTGGCATCTGCTGTACTATTTTCAGAATTTGATGGATGACACTTCAGTTTTAGTCTTTGTTTACTAAAAGTTTGGATGATGGTTGGGAAAACATTCTTAGTAACTGATTTAAACACTTTAATAAATTATATAGTTTAAAGAACATTTTGCGTTTCACTTAATGTTATTTGAAAAAAACAACAAATACAACAACAACAACAACAACACATACATCTTGGAAGCGGCTCTCACAACAGATTTCATCAGCTTCCTCCTCCTCTCCAGTTTTACATATTTGTTTCATAATTCTTTTGAGAGAGAATCTGTGGGAACAATGCACTAAAGAAAGCTTTGGTGTAGCAGAGCAGCATGACTCATTTACAGCTGCTGGTTTCATTCCTGGTCAATGAATGAAACGCTTTCAGCTTGTCTGGATATAGTAATTCTGGGGCTTGTTGTGGAATGAAATAATTTCAAATATTGTGGTCTTATGCACCCATATCATCAACTGTAAATAGGAGTCATCTGAAAAATGAATAATCTTAGTTGGTGGGACTTTTCCTTTAATACTTCAGATGGACTTGTCCTTATGCACTTGCTAACAGTACAGAGCTAGCACTCCTTTGGTAAAATACCAACAAAAACAAATTATGCCAACTCTGTGCTTTTAGTTTTGCTAAATAGCTTTTTTTTAACCTTCTTCCTTCCACTTTGCCTCATCTAAACTTATAATGGTAGGAGGAGAATGTGAGGGGCCTTTAGCAGTTTTACTGGATATTATGCTGTTGAGTTGTACAGCGCTTCAGAAAAAAAAATTGTTAATGAAATGAATTATTTTAAAAAAATACTCACTAAAATGGTAGTAAGTAAAATGAGCAGTTACTCTAGCTATAGTCTTCGTACTCTAGCTAGCAAAAGAATATGGAGTTTGTGTCTTCAGCTATCTAATTGAGCATAAAACCACTGCCTAATATTTGAAGTTGACATCAGTGACATCAGATCAGAACAAAAGCATTAGATTTTGTTACTTTCAAAGATGTTTTTTTAGAAAAAAAATTTTTCACAAGAAAATAAAAATATTATAAATCACCCTATATTCAATGAAACATCACAAAGCCCTCTTCCAAACTGGTGGATAACTGGAAAAACTAAACTTCAGGAAAGGCACTGCTTATGTGTTTGAGTCAATTGCTTCTTGTACTTTCCAAATATACTACCTTAATACCTTCAAAAAGTCTTTGAGAAGAAAGGAAATTATAAAAAATACAATTTTTTCTCACATGTCACTATTCTATGAAGTAAATTCTTCTCGATATGGTAGTAAGAACTGTGCAGTATCTCCCATGTTGCTGGCTGTAATTGAAAAGGTCACGATCTAATTACAGTGCTTTAGATGAATTCTGGTTTAACAGAGGGCTCATGCCCTATAACTAGAAGACTCTATGGCTTCTGCAGAGCCTTTGGCCTACCTTAATTCCAGTTCCTCAGGACTCTTCTGCCATGGGAGAAGGGCTGGCATCATTCTGCCCATGGTCCCTTAGTTATCACATAAGTGTATACGTGGTTGTGTTTATTCCTCATGGATGTGTGTTCATGTTTGGATGTATTCCACCAAGAGCCTGGTTCAACGGACAAAATACTTGGGGAAAAAAAAATCTCATTTCCTTGTATGTGGCCATCCTAATTTGAACAGCTGAGGAAATCAGTGTCTGAGCTAACAAAGCTCAGGCAAAAGTAATGACCGAAAGTGGCCGGCAGCAGAGATCCCTTGGATTTTCCTGCATAGTCCAGATGACAGCAGCGCTTTTTCTCCTAGGGAAAAATATTGTTTGCTTTGAACTATCTGATCTTTACATTCAGAGGTGTTAACAGGTGCCTTGTGCCATTAGTGGAAGTTTGACAAATTCTGCATCACTTAGAATATTACTGTTTTCTTTTGTTAGGCTTGCACTGCTCTGTGTGGGGTGCTGTGAATGTGCACCTGCTTGAAGGGAATTGTGCTGTTTTATCTTTGTGCATTAAACATTGCTGGTGCTGCATAATGAAGACCAAAGACGTGCATCTGAGCATAGAGCTGCTGTCTCAAAGCATTACAACCAGCCACTGTTCCGTAGTCTTGATGCATCTTATTGAGTTTGTTTTTCTGTCAGATTGCTCAAGCAAGTCTAAGAAGGTGCTGTGAGAGAGAGGGAACATGTGTACTGTGAGGTAGATAGTGCTACCTTTCATTCTTATGCTGTTGTACAAGTTTTTGAATTGAAATCCAGTGTGTTGCTTGGATTGTTTTCTGTTTGTTCAAGTGATCCTCGGTATTTAAAAGAAAAAATAAATGTAGCCTTTAAGGTGCGATAAATATTTTCAACAAGCTACATGCTGTGTGATGTACAATTTGTAATACAACCAGTTTATAATTAATTTTTTTCTTTTTGTTTCGTTGCAGCAGATGCAATTAATAATGCAGCAGGGTTTGGTTTTAGAGGCTATGACAAAAATGGAGTTACACGTTGGGATCTAATATCAAATCTGAGAATCCAACAAATAGAGGTTTGTTTCTAGCTCTTTCAAAAAAACCCACATGCCCCTGTAGGTAGCTATTTGTAATTTCAGTAACTTTCCCTATGCATTTTGTTCCTTAAGGTAGTGAATATGTTTCAAGTCAGAAATGATGTGTTCACACCCTTAGGAAAGGATGGAAAATATTCTGTTTTGAACATGTTCTACTTGTCAGTTGACTTCCAAAATATTTTGTGGTTATAAGTAGTTGAGCAAATAACTTATTCAACTCATCACAAGATTGGTGGGGGAGGGTTTATAATTTATACATGACAATTTTGAAACACTTTATAACAATTCACAATTATAGAAATAATTAATTTGTTTTACTTCACAGTTTTCCACAAGTTTCAAGATGTTTCTTGACAACTGGAATATCCAAACAGCTCTTTGGCTCAAAAGGTATTTATTTCTTAAAGGAAAGCTTTCCTCCACTGAAGTTTCTTAGATAAATATTTCTTTGCAGATGATATAACATTTAAAGCTAAAACCCCCGCAAAACATCAGTTGTTTAGCAACTCCACGGGACATTCTTCTTGTAATACTTGAATTAAAGTCTCTGCATGTAGGACTCCTCTCTTAGTGTAGACTACCAGGTTATGGCAGAAACAGTTTTTCTTCACTGGCCAAAGGGAACATAAACCTGTTAATCTGTGGAGGCATCTTTTTTCTTCTCTTAGCATTCAAACCAGTGCATGTTGCTGAGAACAGCAGGCAAAATGTACATCTCAGCCTGTGAAAGCTCTGCATTATTTTTAGCCACACAGTGATATAGGAACTTCCATACGTTTTGTGAGAGAACTTTCTGTGCTCCTTCCATTATGGGTTGCACGAGAGACATCAAACCCTACAATGTGCTGTCAACAGAAATTGCAGATATCCCTCAGCTTCACTCTTTCCTTGTCTGGGAAACGGGTATGGTGTCCTGTGAACTACATCTCGCTCCTTCTTTCTGGTAACTAGAAAGTAAAATTGTTCTTGAGCAGCGTGTGGGTGTTGTTTTCCTTCTTCCAGTCTGTTGAGTTGGATCTCTATCGATACATGCAAGTTTGAGACCCCTATCTTGGGATCACTCAGAGGACTTAACCCCTTATTCTAAGATAGCTGGCAACAGGATGTTTCTTGCATCAAATTTCTTCATAGTATTTTCTCTCCCTACCATAATTTTATCCCTAAATATTTTACTGATTCAATTAAAAACAGAAATTGAATTTTATGTGATTATTCTGGTTGGCTCAATGGTCAACGGGACCTATTGCTAGAACAGTGAACAAAGAAGAATTGCATGTTTGCAGGTATTGAAATGTATCATTCAATAAAGAAAGTAAGTTATCTAGCTATTTTAATTTAGTTAGAGAACAGAAATTTATCAGTATTAAAACTTAAGAGGAAAAGGTTGTATTTCCAAAATGGAATGATTCTAAAGAAACACTGTGATTAGTGAAGAAGCATAACACTTCTGCTAGGAATTGAAAGAAAAAAAAATGCAAATCAGTTGCTCAGAGTGACAATAAAATAAGATGTGAAGAAAAATTAAAGCATCTCCTTTAATAAATATTTTTTTCAAACAATAGTAGAAGAATCCTTGAGGATAGTCTAAATCTTTGAGGATAGTCTGATTTTATTCTGCCACAGTGAAAGGGAGAAGGGCAGATGTTTTCTGGAAGTTTTGTTGCAAGTAAAATTGTTTTAATTGATTGTATATGAGGTCCATAAATAGTGTTATAGAATATATATTATATTATTAATCATTTGGATGGTTGCAATGCTACAACAATTAGAGTGGAGGACAAGCTCATGTGTTACTTCAAACATCCACTTTTAATACCTCACTTTTTTTACCCTTTATAGAAGTACCTAAAATGTTATCCATTTATCTCACATGAAATAGCAGACATCAGCATTTGTTCTGTTTTTATTCTGATACTCTCTAAAGCAAAACTGAACCACCAGAATCACAGGATTTAAACCCTGACTGTGTGTAAGAACAAACTCCTTGTAAAAAACACAGCTAATGGAGCTACAGATCACAAAGAGGTTTAGTAAACATCTGGTGTAGATCATAAGATACAGCAATTCAGAGGTGTTATTGTCACAAGCATGCAAGTTAAGATAGGTATTTACGTAGCAGCATATATCAACAATACATATCATGATAGTGTTTCCTGACTGGGAAAGCTGTTACATTCCCACCTCAGCCTGTTCACTCTCATTTCCAAAGAAACCATCTAATGCCATTTGTGCTTGGTCATGTTTGCAAAACTTTTCTGGTTCTTGTTGCTGGATTCTGACATCTTTCAATCTTCCTGTCTTCTTAGACTGGATGTAGTACTTCTGCTAAGACCTTCAAGGTCTTTCCCTGGCTTGTTACAGGCAGAGTCAAATAATTTGACTGGATTAATTACCATTATTTTCTGTAGGTCATACTGTGATGTATTAGGAAGAGTGTTATATCTGTCTCTTTTTTTGCAGCAGCTATCTACTGTTGATTCATGCTCAGCTGATACTCAGTGTTTCATACTGTTGATTCATATTCATACCCAGCTACGCTTTTTCAGGAATTTTACAGGAATGGTACTGTTTTGTATCTTCCACTTTTCTTATAAGATGTTCTATGCTTTGGACTTCATCTTGTTGATTTCAGAACACCCTTCAAGTCTGTCAAGATCATTTTGGATTCTAGTGCTCTATCTGCTAAGAAAACAATGCCAATCTCGTCCATCCCACCTTCACCCCAAAAAAAAAGGAAGACAAGGTGGAAAAATATACTTCTCAGTCTACCACCCAAGTTAGTAATGAAAACAGAGAACCAGACCAAAGGCAGTACCTTGTTGAACAATTGATGCATCTTCCCACTTCTAGAGCAAATTATGGATAAGATAACCTGAACAACCTGTATCTGAATATACTTTTGCCACCTATTGTGATGACCAGATTTCCTTGGTTTGTTTTTAGGAACGTCAAATGAGGCATTTGAACATGATTTATTACTACCAAATCCATGGAAGAGTTTACTTTTTACTCTTTGAAATTGAAAGCTAATGACTTTTTGTAGTATATCTTACCCGACTTGCATTGATACAGCTGAAATTTGGTTATTTAATTTGTTTAATTAATTTAGTTAGTTTTGTTAGGTCCTGAATGCTTTTCAAGGAACTATTTCAGTAGTTTAAACCAAATAAAGATTGAAGCCATGTATCAGTTTATTAATGAGACATAATTAACCACTTCTCAGTAAAATGTATGTTCAGAATTAATAGCAGTACTAGAGCAGATACCATTTTATATGTGCTTAGTGTTCTGGTTTTATAAACGTTTCTAAACACTGTTCTGTAACCAATGCCATGCAGTTTAAAAAGCAGGCATGTATGCACACATTTACATGCAAACTGCACCTCCTTTCTCAAGGACATGTGGGATGCAAACCCCCACCTACTCCTGGGAATATGGGCTTGTATGCACTGCCTGTGTGAGATGTGAGTACTCCAGCTTGCTGTGAACCTGCTGATGCACATGCCCATTAGAAAAGCACGCCACAAATTCCTGTGCCTGCAGCTGACAGGGATGAGATCCTGCTCCCTGGCATGGCACACTGCCCTGACAGTCCCCTACCTGGGTGCAGGGATGCTACCATGTCTACCAGGGATGCTCTGTCTTGGCTGAGGCAGAGGTCATGGTGCTGGTGGGGTGACTTCTGGCAGTGTCAAACCAGGTTTTGGTGACTGGTATTTTGCTCCAAGATGTCTCCCTGAGTCATCACAAATTTTCCTAAAGCTACTTCTGAGGGTGACGGATTCTTTGTCAAAAATGTTTCTTTGAAGTTCTATATTTACTATTTAGCCTGGCCCAATGCTGCTTTTGTCTTTAAGGTGATGTACTTGGGGCAGATGTCCTCAGATAGTTGTGTGTATTACACATGCAAGCACCTGCCCTCCACTCAGCCCCATGTTCTCATCTTAATGGGCTTTGTGAGCGAAGTCCTTTGGCAGGAGCAGAGGGTTGTGCTCATATCCTGCACTGAAGACTTCCTAAGATAAATTTTACCACATCTATTTGACTGGAATAAACTAAATTAGCAAAATACACTTTTGATCTTTCCCTATTCAGATGCTGTCTTTTTGCCTTTTGTTCTTCAGCATTGACTGCGTCAGTAGGTCTCAGTAATCTTTTGTATACATGGAAGTTGTGGTAAAGTAGTTAGATTAGTAGTGTTTCGGCCCTCTGTATCATTAGCTTGTCATCTTCTTTGAATAATAGACGTGAATTCTCTTCTTTTTTTCTGTTACTTGCTATGTGGTTAGAAAACCTTTTACATATTGGTGTCTATGGCCTTTTTAGTTAAAACTCATTTTGTGTGTTAGCCATAGATTTGTGTTCATGCATGCTTGTGGTGTTTATTTTTGCTTCATGTTAGTTTGTATCTGTTTCCATATTTCCTATTGCTTTTTGGTTTTCAGATCATTAAAGATATTAAAGAAATCTTGATGAAGCCATATCAGGACCTTACCATGTTTCCTATCATTCTTCCACATCATGATGGTTTGTCATTGTGTCATATAATGTTGTCTTCTAGGAAATACCTTTCTTGGATTCCTTTTTCCTTTCTTTCTTCTAGGATTCTTTACTGTAGGACCTTACCTAATAGTTCAGAGTCTCAATTTTTAATTAACGGAGTTCAGCATTGTCGTTATTTGATACTCTTGCAACACTACAGTACTTACTACAGTTTCATCATCATGCTCACCTGATTGTGTCACATGGACATATTTTCAACTCTAGTCTCTTTACTATTCAAAATTGAAGGTAGTTGTTACTTTTCCCATTTTTATATACACTGCTTTCATTTTGTGACAAACATATATCTGACTCATTGCAAGAGTCTCCGGGGTTGTCTGTGCCTTCCAGTGTAGCTTTTCAAACACATTCTTGGATGGCTCAAGATCCCTCATTAATGCCAACACCCATCTTTGGATGACTGTATCCTTTCATTATGAATCAGGACTGTGTGTGATGGCACTGAGCACAGGTTAGCACTGAGGGCTTGGACTGGGAGCTGTGAATAGCTTTAAACGTTTACTGTAAGTCATAATACTGTGGCAATATTATTAAATAACAGCAAACTGCAATTGCATTCAAACTTACGTGTTGCAGGTGCAACTGGTAAAAGTAAAAAGGATAACTGAGAAGATGGTGGGTGACTTGTCTCGTGTTATTTATCTTGAATTGTTTTTTTAACTTGCTAGAGTGTGCTATGAGCGAGCCACCTTCAGCCCAACGATCCAAACCTTCATCCTTTCTGCCATCTGGCATGGGGTTTACCCAGGATATTATTTAACATTTTTAACAGGAGTACTTATGACATTAGCAGCACGAGCTGTAAGTACCAACCAAGAATCTTCTTAAATAACATGTTTTGTAAAAGAAAACTGATCATGTTCTGTAGTCCAAAGATGCCCTTTACAGTTTATACACAATCTGTCCGATAGTGGTGTTTACTTTTTTAGTTAAGAGAGCGTGGGAATGATTAGATGTAAGGAAGGGTTGATTGGTGGAAACAAAGACTGTACATAACCTATAACAGCTTTGTAGCATATCTTTTGTGGAAGCTCTTCCTCTGTGTTAACAGATCCTGTGTTACTGGCATAGCGAACAGGTTCATGTTATCTAAGATAATTTTGAAGAAATCACTGATGATGAGTAGCTTGAAAGTTGGGTGTTAATGCTATAAATTTATAGAGTCTTCCCCCTCCCTAATTTCTGTCCGGTACTAGTGTAAAGGTGGTACCTAAAGAATGCTTCCCCTCAAGCAGCAGATAAAAATCTCTAGTGCAGCTACCATTCAAGTTGGCCAGCCAGCAGTGCAGTCACATTAACAAGCTTTTGCAGCTGCTACTCAGAACCATATGGAACCAGCAAATCTGCCAAGAAATTTCTCACAGTTCTGCTTGAGAAAGCTATGTAAGAACAGAGGTTTATCAGTTCCTCAGTGGAAAAGAGGAACAAATCACATGTCAGATCAGAGAAGCATAACAGACCACATTTTGTTGTTGAAACCAGGAGAATAAGAAATGAAGAGGACTGCTCTTTGTTGCTCTAATTGCTAGGGAAAGGTGGTATTTCAGATATAGGTTTTTTCTACAGCGATAAAACAGATGCTTCTCTTTCTTCACAAGATGAGGGTAAAGTCCTTGTTTGGCAGAACTGACTCCTTTCTTTACAATAGGTGTAGCTTTCTTCTCCTTCCAGACTGTATCACAGGGAGCTTTTGACATTTATCAGCCAGGGGCTGGTGCAAAAGCCAAGGTTCTGGGACAGTTCTCAGGTAAAAGTTTTACTCAGTGAGATGAGTCCAGTAAATTGGAGTGCTCACTGAACTTCATCCTGGGCTTCTCTAGTAAGGTGTGTTGTATTCACATTTCATATGTATCAATCAATAGGCTAGTAAAAATATAGTTTGAGTTTCTGTATTAACAGGTACTTAATATTAACTGCTAATATATATTAGAGGTACTTGAGCATATTCGTTACTTAATCCTACTAGCCTTTAACTGCAAAGTGTGGTAGCTTTGATCTGCACTTCATTCTGTCATGCCTAAGCATGTATTCAATTTGTTTTACCTCCTTACACATTTCAAAATCAGTATGTACTAGGAGCAATTGTAGATTTGTGTTTAAAGTCATCCTTCCAGTCCTAAAATACAGTCCTAAAATACAAGATTTCTCTACAAAAGCTTCATCTGAGTTCTGCAGAACTCAGGAACAAGTCATTGCATGTGACTATAGGAGAAAACTGGGCGGAGATGGCAGGATGAAGGATATGGGGCCAGAATTACTTGTTTTACTTACCTTAACTAAGCAAAGGCTGAGGGGGAATGTGGTGTCTATGAGGCAATTTGGATAAGAAGAACAAGAAGGGTAAAGAAAGGTTTTAATGTAAAGATAGCAGCAGGAGCTAGCCTTGGGTATGTTCTTTGGAAACAGGAGTTCTAAGGAAATGGAGGTTTGAAGAAGCTGAACTGTGCACTTTGGTGCTGCATTTTTGCTTCAGTGCAAGTGACTGGGAGGTGGAAACTGTGATGCTGAGCTCACAGAGGCTGAATGGAGCCCATCTTGGCTTCTCAGCAAGTCAGTGTGAGCAAGGATGATAGTTCAGTCAAAGGAAGGAAGGGCAAAGATTTACTGGTGTCTTTTAACTGTAGACTTAAATAAAACTGAACCCAAATCTGTGTGGGTTTTGGATCTGGATTTTTTAAATATACCTTTGTTGTTCTGTTGTTTGAACAGAATTTTACAAACAAAAGAAAACAGTGTAGAAAATTAAGTCAGTTTATAGCGGTCCCACTTGATAGTAGTTGTTATTAAGACTCCTGAAATATAAAATTAGAACTGATATTTTGTATATTCTGATTTATACCCTGCTTGTCCTAAAATATATCTCATAACAAGTATATGAAAATGACTTACCCTATAGAAGCTTTCCTCAGAAGGACTCTGGCTTTCATTTATCCCAACCCTCTATATTTATAGAATGCCTTGATAGAATAGAGTTGTCCTAATTCAGACAAGCACTGCAAAGTTGCATTTGGTTTAGGGGAGGATTCATTTACTTAACTTCTGCTTAAATTGGTAAATGCTTTAATTCCTGTGGTGGATGAAGTGGGGGGAATTTGAACTGACTCCTGTTGAAGTTGATGGGCATTTTGAATAGTTCAAAGGTATTTGACCAAACTGTAGCATTTCATTCATCCTATGAATTTTGTGTCAGTGCAACAAACTCTGAGCTCCCAAGGTTTTATTCCTAAGCTAATTTACTATTACCTGCTTTTTCAGATAAGAAACAACATCAGACACTATTTTGTTGAATCTCCTGCTGTTAAAGTGTGTTATGATATTATAACATGGATGGCAACTCAAATAGCAATAAGTTACACAGTCGTGCCATTTGTACTGCTCTCTGTAAAACCCTCTTTCACCTTTTACAGGTAAGCCCATTCTACCTGTTTCCTTTTCTCTAAATTGAAATAGAAGTGTTTTCTGCAGCATAAGATTTTTGAAGCTATTTTAATGATAATTATAAAATTGATTTGTTATCTGAGTGGACTGTGTTTCTGTTCTAGTGCTGGAACGTGGTGTATGTTGTGTATGAAAAACCTTAAAGTGCTTTCATTTTGCAGTCATATTAGAGTTATTTTTCCTGGGGCAGGGAAAAAAGACCCAACCAAAAACAAAACCAGAGGGTACCTTAGAGATTACTATATGCCCTTGAATTATTTTACAGCAAAACTAGATATTGACTTCCAGAAATAACTTGTGAAAAAAGTTGAAAGCAAATTTCTGTTCACTTTACATCTTGTTACAGCACTAAATACCGTAAGGGAGGACTTAATTTCTGATTTCCCCCTTACTTTACTTTTCTTAAAGGAAATACTAATGTCTTCTTATCTTACATATGAAGTATGCAAGTTACTTTTGACAGTTTATTCCTTAAGTATCCTGTAGGAGTGGTGAGAGTTTTATTGAATTACTATTTCTGTTTGTTTTTTAGCTCCTGCTATTTCTGTCTTCATATTGCCAGCATTCTGGTGTTGTTGGTATTTCCACTGAAAAGAACTCAAAAAGGAAGTAAAAAGCATGAAACCATCCAGCCTGTGTGGTCCAAAACACTAGAAGAAGAAAATCTTTTGCAAAAGAACAGTTACTCCACAACAAATAATAGTTTCAGTCAGAAGCAAGAAATGACCTGCAGATATCAAACATTAAAACAGTGATTGAGGAAATATTATGATGAATATATTTTGTATGTTTTCAGAAACCCATTTTTAGCACCTTTTAAAGGGGTTTGTATTTGTTTGCAAAGATGTTTAGTAAGAAAAGAATGCATTACCTAGGAAAATCACATACATATAGCAAGACTGGAAACAAAACAAATTAACCCCTCCCATGCCATGTCCCTGTGGGTCACGCCTTATATGAAGATATTACCATTATTTCAATGGGCACTCAGGACTTGCAACGTATGTCCATAGGGTCATATGTGTGCCCTTTGCTGAATGTACGTTGTGTATCCCAAGGCACTGATGGGGTGGAATAAAATTGTGTCAATCTAGGATTAACAAATGGAAAATAACTTTTCCAAATGAATGACTTGCCTTAAACCCTCTATTTACTGAAATATTGTTTCTAAGTGGGTATTTTCAAGTTTGATTTTACATGGAAAGCGCATTTCAAATATGAAACTATATGCTGTAACGAAGATAAAATAGGAAATGCAAAGTCACTAGAAGACTTCTGAATCTTTAAAAGGGAATTGCAATAAGCATCTCAGTATTTGGAGGGTTTTCTTGAAGTATCTCAAACTATTACAGTACATTACAGAACTGTAAACATTGATGCCAAATTATAGTTAGGTTTCTTTGATAAAGAGTATAATTACTCTGAATGGATTAAAATGGCCCTTCTGAATGGATTAAAAACAACTCAAGGTTCACCTTTTTCCAGAGCTTGATGGCTCTATTGTAGGTTTCTATTATTTTAAAGTACCTAAACCCAATAAAACACTGCCAAGTGGGCTTTGCAGCTAGAGGAGGAAAAGCAGCCATAAGGCACAGAAGACAACGTGCAAGCACTGGGATTTCAATGAAAGTGCAGTTTTGCCCTTAAATGCCAGAAATACTTGTTCTAGAATAGAACTGTTTTACAAAAAGTGATTTTTAATACTTAAAGTTATTTTGAATTTTCAGGCATCAGTTATTTGATGATGCTTTCAGTATAAAATAGCAAAATTACCTTGAAGCTCCAGCGTGTGGATAGTCAAGTATGAAATGACTATCATAACCAATTTCTATATGCTTGATAATTGATGGCCCTTTATCCAAAGAAGTGTATGAAATTGAGGAAAAGCTTTTCTTTAAATTTTAGATGCAAAGTTCATATCATATTTGTGGGTAACATAATGAAAGAAAGAAATCCTTCAGAATATCTGACTAACTGAATTATGGAAGTGTGTCAAGGAAACAATGCAGTGGTTATGTCTATTCCAGACCATTTATTTTTGTGATGATGGTCACTGCTAGAGTACTACTGTTAAAGGGCTACATTTTAATTGCTTATATTCTGTATTTTCTTATAATTTTTTTAAGTAAACACAAACTGTTTATCCACATGGGGTTTATTTTTAATTTTAAACCAGACACAAAATACTACCAGAGAAAAATAATGCAGCTTGTTGATTAATAACTAGCAAATGAGTGAGAAAAATGTCTTAATATTTTGAACCTTAAATTTTTCATCAAATATCTAGAACCAGTCAGATGAATATTGTTAGTACCAGAAGTGCAATGATGGTCCTCAGCTTTGGGGATACTACCATGCAAAAATTGTCTCAGTACTTCTGGTGTACTCTCTAAAGCACCAGACTGTGAGTTTGGTCAGAGTTGTTTCCGTGCTGCCACAGTTCTGTGTCTGGCCTTTGGCTCCTTGCCTAAAACTCCAGGAGGAGGATAACATATATGTAGGTTAGGACTAATTAGTCTACACAGTTAGAAAGGAGGAACTGAATATTAAATGAGAGCGACTGAGTCTGTTTAGATGAGCAGGGATGTTCATTGTTTCAGTGACAGCTGTATTATCTTTAAGATAAAATAGTCTGATTTCTAAATCCTTACTTTGATTACCCAAATAGACTTCCCCTTACATGGTTATCATATGCCTCTTTGAAACCACATTATGCTTTTCTTGTTAATTATAAGGGAACACTAGTTTATTTTTTTGGTCATCCTTATTAGATGCAGAATCAGGAAAGACATTTTTTTGCTTTCTGTAATTGAAGGAATATTTACATAAGAGAACAAATTAGAATTGCACGTTTCTGGGTGGGTAAGTAAAATTGGCATTGATTCTTTCAGCATTTGTTACTGTTGCACTTAAATTCATCTTGTTGGTTCAGTTCCATATCTACTCAAACCGTTTTGGATGCCAGTACAACATCCAGTGTGTTATGTTAATGTTCTGGTACTCTTGTTTTGTTCTTTTGGTGTGTGCACAGTGGAGGCTTACTAATTCTTCTTAATGAAATATGAAAACAGTTGTAAACACTCCCAGAAAATAAGCAGGTTTAGGGTAGTGCAGACTGGTGTGTGACTTCAGTGTGAGTCAATTCACAGGTACAGTTTCGTTCTGAACTTTTGTATATAGGGAAGTTAAAGCAACCAAGAAAATATGTTCGTGCTTTCGTTGGGCACAGGTGGCAAGATACATGTTTCAAAATTGGACATGACTTTTTTCCTTCATGATTTGAACCCATTAAATAATTGCAGTACAAGAAAATTATGGCAATTAATTCTGCACAGAATTTAAGTGTACTGTCTTAGAATTTACCCTTTAAATGTCATTTCTGAGTATAAAAGTGCTTTGAACTGAAATCTGCTCTTCATGTAAATGAATTTTCTTGGGGACTTTGGAAAGAAGTGTTTTGTTTTAATGGCAGCACTCTGATTTTAGTCAAACTGGGGTTTTGTTGTTTTTGCTTTCCTACTGCTTTACTTGTTTTCTGCCTTGCTATTGCACTGAGTCCTTTTTATCCACTCAATCAGAAAGTCATTAGCAGTCAGCCTCGATGCTTTAGATAATTTTTAGGTTTTACAGACATCATTTGATAATACTGAATTTGAAAGGATGGCAGTGGTTTACTATTGCTCTTCCTGAGAAAAATTGTAAATTTCCTATGTATGTTTCGGGCATGAAGGAAACATTAAGTATTCTTTCACTTACTAACTAATTTATATCCAAAAGATAAAAATGTTTTCTATATTGCAGATCAGCACACTATGAAAAGTAAATGCAACATATCATTCATAATTTTTATGGTGCTTTGCAGATATTTGCCTATTGTGAACAGTTCATTCAGGCACTTAGTTAGTAAATGTAGTCACCCTGAGAGTAACTATTTGCTTGCTTAACCTTTTTCAACCTTTAAGATTCTGTATTAATGAAAGAGATATATATTACATATTTAAATAATACTTTTGGTGGTGCCCACTACTGTTTTAATCAGAAAGGCTTTGTTAGCTTTGCAGTTACAGATATGCCCTTCTTATTCAGGAAACTTATTCTTCCGTGGCCATTCCTTAAGTTGACATGTAGACAAGATTTCAATAATTGGTGACATTTGAAAATATGCTCTTGCTAACAAATAATACTTTAGTGAGAAGACTATGAAGAGACTTTTGTATATTCCCTGCTCTACACTGTCATATGGTATTAATTTTACCAATTTAATATATTATTTATTAGAAGAATTTTACACTTAAAGAAATTGTTCAGTTTCCCCCAGGGAAATAAGTAATATGAATATAAATGCTAGGATTGTATGACAGGATGCACACTAGGTAGTTTTGCCTCTTTTGTTGGCATTGATTTGGTTAGTGGTAAAATGTCCTCTGATGCAGAGGAGACATTTGAGATCCTCACCTCCCGTAAAATTCACATCAAAAGTAATTTTAACAGAGTCGAGATTTTTTGCTCAGAAGCTTTGCAAACAAATTGTTGACAATTTGTTTGAATACATGGTGAAATGTGTCTTCACGTTTGCCTGCAAATGTATCACTGTTGCTTATATGTAAACTTTCACATGTTCAACTTTATAAGTTGGCCTTGAATGATAAAGAAATTTAAAAGCACAAGTTACAGTAATTTAGGCTTTTATTTCCCTTTATCCTTAAGTCTTTCACTTTGTAATTCTCATTGACTTCTGAAATCAGGCTTGAAAATTTTTCAGTTTCAGTGAAAATTTTGAAATACTGCCATCTGTGTTGAAAAGTGATCAGTGTTAGAAAAACAGATGGAAATTAATTTAAGGATTTTAATATGATGCAGACTCTATGTATTAAAAAAATACACACTATTTCTGTGCTGATTCATCACAGCATTTCACTACAAAATTAACCTTTATGTATTTATTTAGATCCAATAATACTCTGAGCAGCACTTGGGAGTATTTTTAAATTTCCTGTTTAAAAAATCAGTTGTCAATAAATACTTAAACAAGTATTATATGCTATTCTGAATAAGTATGTAAGCAGATACTCTAGTGAATTGAGCCTACTCTCATAAGATTACTGGATCTGTCTGGATCTCACCTGGTTTGTGCTGTCGATCTTCACCTTCTTCACAGTCATAGTGAAAAAGCTGGCAGTGGAGAGGTCTGTAGTCAGAACATGTCCCGTCTGTGGCTGGAAGGGTTTGCCACACAATTCCTGTGAGGAGCTAACCCTCTGTGCAGAGCTGGACAGAGATTCTACTTGCTTGTGACCTAGCCTGCCACTGCTCAATGCTACATCTGTCTGGATTTTTGACGTGTGTGCTGTCTTAACCTAGACGTTTAGCAAACACCATGAAATCCAGGCATCCACAAAGTCACCCTGCAAGGTTACGACTGCAAATGTTGCAACACTTGCTTATTATGGTTAAAACAAAATGAAAAAAAATCTTTAAAACTAGTTTTGAGATTAGCTTTTTTGTAGTTTTTTTATGAAATCTAGCCATCAGCTGTATCAATTTTCATTTCATTGCATTAAATATTTAAAACATAATTTTACTCAGTTTAGGTATACAAATTTGCAAAAGAAAATTTTGCTGCTTCATCACTGTCTGTGCATTAGTTGTGTGTCCAGTGACCTTAGACCTGGTTTTGGTTTTAGATGATTTTAGATTTTTTAAACCCATGTACATATCCATATAAACATTGTGTAAACTTTAAGTTGACAAACTGTAGTTACATATAGCGTGCATAAATACAGTTAAAATAAGCTACATCAATATTCAGATGAGGCTGGTGTTGAGCCCTCCAGTTGTACATTACATCTGAAGGCTGTGGGGCTCTGCTCTCAGACCACTAAGCTTTCTGCTTCCTATGGTGAAAATATAATCTGTTGGTTACACTTCAAGTGGCAAGTAAAAGGCTTCTTTCATTCTGTTGCAAAACCAACCTCTACAGGATATTCTGCTTCAGGCTATGAATAGAAATTTTGACTTCAGACTGAGATCTGACATAGGGCCACATTCAGAGAAAATGTTTTATATTACTAGTGACTCAGTCCAGCACCTTACTCCAAACAAACCTCCTGGCAAAACAGACCTCTGCACAATCTTCTTCCTTCCTTTCATTCTCTAAGGGAGAAATACCCCAAGCTGAATTTTCTTTAGGTTTCACTGCAATATGTCATATGAATAGGTAGCTGTGGTCCATGCTCTAGTCAAATTAGGCTTCAAGACTGGGACAATATAATCTGAAACAAAAACCAGAGAAACAGGGTGCCTAGAGACGGGTAATCAGAATAGTGCAACACTACGTGTTAATGGTGCAACAATTGTCACAATAAGTTAAGAAGTATTTGCCTATGCGTCTTTTGCCTTTCGATGTGTTTATCAGTTCTCTTTACATCTTTTCTTTGTACCTTCTTTTGTCCAGTGGTGTTGACTATTTCTATGAAGAATCTGCTGATGTGTCTTATTGTGACAAAGGTGTCAAAATGCTACAATAGTAATTAGGTAGTTATTCTTAAATCCCAGACCTCAGATGTGTTCTAGATCAGTTAGAAGAGAACATTCAAAATGTATTGGGTGAAAAATAGTGTAAGATGGGTAAATATAGCATTATTCAAAGATGTTGTAATAAGTTATTCAATTTAAGAATTTAAAA